AGTAGAGTAGGGTTGTTGTCAACCTCGGTACTACCGAGGATTCACACCTCCCACCGACGGGCCTACAGTAATGATAACGTTGTTTCACGTGTTTATCGTGACCACGCGTTGGATTAAGGAGTGCTAGGTTGGGCGTGCGCCTGTTGAGGCGCCCGCCTTTGACGCRGTTTTTTTCGTAAGTACGCGCGGGTCCTATTACAAGGTTTTCTAGTTAGCACCATGGAGGTTCAGCCAGAGGACGCGGAGCAATTGGATGGAAGATCGGCGGCCCCTCCAGTAAGAGCCGATATCCCGACGTCAGACGAGGACCGAATGAAGATCTTGATTGYCAAATGTTATGAGGAGGGTACAATTCCAGAGAAGTTCCGTCACGGAGAGTGGGTGGTGGAGAATGGAGTACGGTTGTTTAAAGTGACGCCAGGGTTGGACGCCCTGGTGACAGCTTGGCTCAAAGAAAGAACAGTAACTGTGATTTTTCAAGGCGATGCAAGGGATTTACCACAGAGAATTAGAGAAGACTTGGTGCGGGCGTATGAGAATGGGTGGTACCGAGACAGAGTATTTGACAGGTCAGTGAAGAGAAGGAGAATTCATGGAGAAGGTCCAAACGTCCTCTCCTATGTTGCAAAGACCAGGGAGGTAGCTCAGTGGATGATCACCAAAGAGGAAGATAAGGTTACGATTCGTGGAGTGGAGTATGGGATGCTGTTCAAGCCATGGATGACCAAGGTGGAGCTGGATGAGAGGAGGCGTCAGGATGAAGAATCGAAGTTCTGGGTGGTCGCTTTAAGGGTTCCCCTTAGAACGATGTTCCATGTGGAAGATATGATTGAAACCTCTATGGGGAAAATCATAAAATCTCTCCCACCGGAGCCGGACAAATCGCGACCGAAGCTCATGAATTTAAAATTTGAATTAGTTCGGGAAGCGGAGGAGAGATTTGAGGAGGAACTCCCAATTAAGTTGGAGGATGGGGAGATTTATCGTATCAAGACGGCTTGTAAACACACACCCTGGTATGAGAAGTGCAAATGGTACTTTCATACGGCAACGGAAGGCTGTCCTCGTGCGGGAGAACCTGACCCCAAGGAAGCAAATTCGAGACCAGGTCAGCGACAACGAGGTCGTAACGAGGGTTGGAACCGTGGGTTCAGAGACGCGGCAAGAGATGCGGGTGAAAGGGCGAACGGAAGCAATGAAGCGGAGTCCTCCAACAGAGGCGGTCAAATGAGGTCAAACACTCAGGGTCAAGGCAGTAGGATGGAAGTCARCAGACCGGCGGGAAGAGGCGATGGGTCGAYTGGTAATCGCCAAGGGGCAAGTCAAGTCATTGGTCAGGGGCAGGGTCTCTATCAACACCCTCCCCCCCATGCTGGCATACCTTCGGGTATGCCGGGTCTTGACCTCCAGCAGTGGAATGTGTATTATCAACTGATGAATCAGGATCCAAGATTGGGCATGCCGACAGCATGGCCAGGACAGGGGTCAACTCCATATTACGCACCTCCATATGGCTTCAACCAACGGCCAGGAGGGCCGGTTATGCAGTACAGTCCGCAATATGTGCCACCGACTTCTTTAACGCAAGGCGTATTGCCTATGGACCTTTCACTGGTTGGAGGGCCCTCAGCCACCGGAGGTTATCGCCCTCCCAGTACCGAGCAAGACGGAATCCGAGAGATACATCAAGTCACGTCCTCCGGAACCAGCGGAAGCTTGAAGGAAGCAGCCAGGTCACCCTCTCCTGGACGCATTCTGGAGGGCGTAGAGATCCAAGGATACGAAGAGAAATGGCTCTTGCCACTTGTTTGCACGCTCCAAGGTCAGGAAATACACGTCATTGGCCTCGTTAATAAGGAAGGTAAGATGTCTCTGCCTGGTACTCAATTGGACGGTATGGCTTCTCCTGAACTGATTCTTCGCAAGGTCAGGGAATTGTTTGCAGATCGTTTCTTTTTTAGGATCTGTCCAGAGGGTTTGCAGCCGAAGATTGGTGTTGATTTACCAGGGGGTAAAAGGATTAGATATTCGATCCCTCTTATCGATGCTCGAATTAGGGACGATCAGTGGAGCAACATCAACCGAGTAGGTTTGACGAGCGTTTCTCTGTCCGCGTTTATAACTCCGTCGATAGCCATGCTGTCACAGATTCAGGTTGAGCCCGGTATCACAGCGCCTGCGTTGGTAGATTTGAATAAGAAACTGCCTCGCTGGCAGAACTTGTCTTCCATGATGTTCGCCCTTTCCGACCATTGGCCAGAAAGTGGTAGAAATGGCCAAGGCACTGAAGAAAGAAACACCACTCACCTCATCCAATCTCAAGGCAACCCATCCGGAATTAATGAGTAAACTCCGCATAGTATCTTGGAATGTGCAAGGGTTAGGGGATTCGAATGGTAAAGAGAAAGGAAAGCGGCTTAAGTCATGGCTTCATGAAGAAAAGGTGGATATTGTGTTTGTTCAGGAGACTAAATTATCGGAGGCAAAGCTGGACAGGATGAAGGAATGGTGGGATGGGCCACAATTATCGTCCCCTGCGCGTGGCTCGAAAGAGGGAGTGGCATTGCTTTTCCATAAGAAGTTAGATGCAAGACTGTTGGATTGTGACTCAGACTTATGGGGGAGATGGTGTTGGGCACAGGTAGAGATTGAAGGGGAAGAGTGGGTTTTTGCCACAATCTATGCGTCTAACGAACAAAAGGATCGTAGGAATTTTTTTACTACTTTACCTTTCGTTCTTCCGAAGTCGGACAGGCTCATGATAGGAGGTGATTGGAATGTGGTACTAGACCCAACAATAGATGCAGAATCACCATCGAATTTGCACTCTGATAAGATCGCACTTTTGAAATGGAGAGAGTCTTGGTCCCTGGTGGACATATTCAGGGACATAAATCCACTGATCCTTGGATACACCTGGTTCGGTGGCCTAGGCCCTGCAGCAGGAGTATGCAGGCGGCTGGACTATTTAGTACTTTCTGAGAAGACTGCAAGTGAGACTATAGAGGCAGGAGTCATGTCAAGACCCTTCTCTGATCACAAGTCAATCTTCATAGAAGTCTGTACCACTGACCGGCCTACACGAGGCCCAGGCTGCTTCAGGCTCAACATAGCCAACCTGGAAGAGGAGGGGATCAAGACATGGACAGAGGAATTCTGGTTTCAGTGGAAATCTGCGGCGGACCACTTCGCCTCACATGCTGAATGGCTTGACGCAGGTATCCAAATTATTTCAAGGAAATTTGATAGTTTTTCAACCATAGCAGCCTATTTAAGAAATATGAAGGAAGGGGAGTGCTTAAAGAGGGTAGAAGAAGCTGAAAGGAATATAGGCATCCATCCGATCTCAGATATATTCTGGGCGGAGGAAAGATTGGACAGACTGAGAGAATGGGACTATATGCAGATGGAAAAGCGAAAACGGTGGGAACGCATTCTTACTGAAAAGGGAATTTGCACACAGGATCGGATGACCAAGGAAACATTAAGAAAGATCCTACCGAAAAACAAGGCAATCCAGGTCAGAGAATTGAAGCATCCACATCGTCTTAACCTCCCCCTTGCAGTCAGAAACGAGGAAATCTGCAACTATGCTGCAGATTATTACAAGGACATTCTGACTTCGAAGTTTCCACAGCACGACTTCGATACAGACCTCTCAGTGGAGTCTACATTCTGGGACCAAACTGCCTGTCGGTTGACCAACACAGGCATGTTGGATTTGGACAGACCTATTACTGCAGATGAGCTTTCTCAGACGATGAGGTCCATGGCTAGGGGTAAAGCCCCTGGGGACGACGGCCTGCCTATTGAGTTCTTTGAAACTCACTGGTCCCTATTGGTAGAAGATCTGGTTCGGCTGTTTAACGACATCAAGGATGGGGGTAAGTTGGGAAAGACAATGTCAAGGGGTATCATTACTCTGCTTTATAAGAAAGGGGACCGGAGTGAAGTGCGGAATTACCGTCCGATCTCTTTGCTTAATGTTAGCTACAAATTGTTAGCTAAAACGCTTGCAGAGAGATTAGGACGTCACCTCCCCGGTCTTATTGGGAAAGAACAGCGCGCATTTGTAAGGGGAAGATCTATTTTGGAGAATGTGGTAACGGTCATTGAGGCGTTGGAGGTTATTGATAGGGATGATAAAGAAGTAATGGTCCTCCTCCTTGATTTGGAGAAAGCCTACGATCGGGTCAAGTGGTCTTTTGTGATGACCACATTGAAGATCCTGGGCTTTGGCCAGCTCTTCTGCAAATGGGTAATAGCACTCTACGGAAGCTCCACGGCGGTGGTTTGTGTGAATGGTATGCTCTCCCAAGAATTTCACCTCTCTCGTTCGCTGAGGCAAGGGTGCCCCTAGGCCCCCCTGCTTTTCGTTATTCAGCTGGAGGTCCTACTATGCAATATTAGAAGTCATCCTGACCTGAAGGGTCTGGTGCTGAGTGGCGGAATTGAATGCAGAGTTAGAGCACTTGCAGATGACCTCTTTGCATTATCAGTTAATGAGAGACTTTCACTCCAGGCATTGAAGAACTGTCTGATGATCTATGGACACCTTTCAGAAGCAGCAGTAAACTGGTCGAAATCTGTGTTTTTCCTACCAAGAAGGTATAACAGTGTTGTGGAATGGGGCATGGAAAGAATCTCGATTGGTAACGCAGAACGCTTCTTAGGTGTACAGGTAGCACTGGATGGCTGCTCGTCCCTTCAGAACGAATTACTGCAACTAAGGGTAGTAAAGAGAGTGAAAAGTTGGGGCAAGGCTAGACACCTCTCTCTTATGGGTCGTGCGCTAGTAATCTCAGTCTCGGCATTTGCACTACTCTGGTATGTAGGTACAGTAACAAAGTTTTCAGGGGAGATGTTGAAAAACATCAAGGGGGTAGCTAGACGTTTCCTGTGGAAACCTGATGGCGAGCAGGAGAGAGGTTTCATTGCAAAAATCTCCTGGGAGATAGTTTGCCGATCAAGGGAAGAGGGTGGGCTAGCCATTGCAGATCCAGAATCAAGGAATCTGGCGTTGCTGACGAAATGGGTTACTAAAGTGGCAGAAAAGGGTCAAGATACGGACTGGATTGCATTAVCGGAAGAGATTTTATTAGAGGAATGRGGTCWGTCGAGAAGGAAAGATGTATGGGTGTGCACCTTTTTGGATGCCTTTCTGAACAAGAGAATGAACTCGACCTTTTGGAATGACATCCTATCTGCATGGAGGAAAGTGAAGCCGTCTCTGGTAAAATGGCCATCCTCCAAGGATGAAGTGATRAGACAACATCTATTTGAGAATTCCTATGTGCACAGATTGGATGGGAGCCTGTTCACGGCCAACACACAAGTTGGCTCCTTTGGCATGAAGTGGGTGCAGAGAGGCATCTCTACGGTGGGCGACTTATGGGACGACCTCACAAATTCATGGAAATCTCCACAGGCAATTCGAGACCAACTAGGCCAGTTATCATCGCAAGAAGAAAGACTCAGGGACCTGATTTATGCCATCCCTTCTGAATGGTTCGCTCTAATCGGGCCAGAGGGTATTAATCCAATGGATACGTGGTACAAGGATGAGGGGGGCAATATCAGCCAGATCTTCAGACTGCAGGAATGGATGTCTGACTGTCCTGGAAAGTGATGGCTGGAGATTTATGATAAAGTGCTGCCAGGTTTGCCAGAAGTGCAGATAGCAGGGATCAGAGCTAGTTATGGCTTAAACAACCTGAGTGAAATCAGGGTTCGTCGCTCCCCGCCTTCGGTGGTAGGACACCCGGACTCGTTAGCAATGATAGCAGAAGCCATGCCAATCAAGGATATGAMGATTGACCCTGACATGTGGGGATGGGAAACAAAGGACGGCCCAGTAATGGGCTTGCATCATCTGACCCCTAATCTGGCACTCTCCCTGATTGCCAAGAAACCTCCCACCAGTGAGATTGTCATCAAACGATGGCAGCGGCAGTACCCGGAGGTGGACCCCCCTGAAGCAGAGGAACTCAACACTCTGTGGAAACAGCTCAAGAGCCTCCCCTCACAAATGCTGGTATCGCTAGCTTGGCTCCAGTCGCACCTAGCGGTGCCAAGCGAAGTGGTTAGAAGACAGACATATGGAAGTTCAGACCTTGTGCGGGACTTGCAAGCAAGGGGAGGAATCGATGTTGCACTTATGGTGGGACTGCCCTGGGGCACAGAAATGGTGGAATTGGTGGAACAAACACTGGATTGCCTTTTCTGGGAGGAAGGAGATGACAGGAAGAAGGTGGGTTCTATTGGGTAACCTGCCGGATGATTCCGCAGGTACAGGCGGGTGGGACTATGTTGCCCAGGTGACGAGGTTGTCCTTGATGTGGACAATCTGGAAAGACAGAAACGACAGGCTTTTTCAAGGAGAACATATGCATGAAAGACACGCAGAAAAGTTCTTCCGAAGATTGATAGGGACGCAGATCAGAGCAGACTGGCGTCGGAAGGCTGCGTGTGGCGCCAGTGAGGTGGGCACACAGTGGTTTCGCAAGACTTGGTGCCTGGGAGAAAAAATTGCACGTATCACACCCCAGGGGAGATTGGAAATCACCAAGTGGTTTGAAGGGTAGAATTATGTAGGGTGGTAGGTTGATAGTAGTGGTCCTCTGTTCTGTTGTCTGTGGTTTGTGAGGCTTTTCTAGGCGTGATGCTGGGCTTTTATTCTCAGAACCTGGGTACTCGGTTTGGTTTGGGTCACAGGAGGCAATTAGGAGGGTGGTGAGTGGTGAGCCGTGGAGCTAACAGGAACCAGAGGTTCCAACCGGCCGTTTTATGGCCGGTGTCAGGCCGTCTTTTTAGGCCTGTATATTAGGTTACTAACTTTGGGATAGATAGCTAGTTAAAGGGATAGAAAGGTGAAGAGTTTACTATGAAGTCGATTTTGGCCATTATTTGGGTTTTGTTTTTAGACCAGATAATGTGGGCAAGTTGAGATGTGAGCCAGCCTGGATGGCTGTAAGCGAAACCGGCTGAAGCTGCCGGGATAACTCAGGGTTGAATTGTGGGGTCCCCGGCCTCAAATTGAATGCTTGTTGCTATAAGGGAATGGAAGGTTTAAAAAAAANAACAGGATGATCGAGGAGGGGGCAGGGGGGAGGGACTGAAAATAAAAAATGGGAGGGAACTACAAAACAGGATGATCGAGGAGGGGTAGCGATAACACATCTAGATGTGTATAAGAGACAGGGGTCATTGTAACCAAACTTGCCACCAGTTCATAAAGTGGAGACCATACTAAGTATTAATAACTAATTGCAAAAAAAAGTTTAAAAAACCAAAAAAAAAAAAAAAAAAAAAAAAAAAAAAAAAGCCAAACCCTGACCGGTGTTATATTTGGGTGACGACGGTAGAGGCGAAGTCTGTAAGTCAAACCGGCCTGTGGACCCATATATATATATACACATGGGCATC